TTTACTTTTAAAATAAGATAATTAGATGATATTCACTTGAAATAAGACAATCCAGTTCTGTTTTCTTATTTTAAATCTAAATTGTTTTGATGCATTGGCAAAATGTCTCTTTTATCTCCTCAATTCAAGAACATCTAGATTTAGATTTTTTCCAGTGTAAAGGTGAAATAACTCTTTTTTCACTTGTATTCCAGCATCCAGCTGCCATGCACGTGGGCATTGTCAGTTTCACTATAGCTCTGGTGAATTTCAATGGTGAAGTCCTCTGGAAATCTTCAATAATTGTTGTTGATTGCAGATGTGTCTAGTAGTTCCCATTGATTCTGCTTTTAAAGCGGGGAGAATGGCGCTAGGCTTACCGCACCGTGACATCACTGCTGGAAGATGGCAGGAGGGAGGGGTTACTATATTTGGGAAAAATGGCCTCTCTCAGACTCGGTGATCATGACGAAAATTATTGTTTTTATTTATTTTTTTAGTGATTAACACTTTTCCTTTAACGCCTCACGAGGATTTCAAGCATGTTTGATTTTTTCCAGATCTTACGTGTGGTCTTTAGAGTCTAATTCCTCCCTCGTTACCATCTGTATGCTACACGACGCACAATGAGGCTGAGATTTGGGACGATCCAGAAAGATTCTGACATGACTTGATAATCAGCCCGAAAATGGCAAAAACTTTTACAGTGTATGCCCAACCTAAATGACAGATTAATATACAAAAGTAAAGAATGAGTTGTTTAGTTCAGGGTGTGACCGTCAGAGGGTGGAGTGGAGGTACGGTCTGTTTATGTATTGTAGCATCAGAGTGAGGTGGTCTTTGTCAAAATAAAGCTTCTACACAATAGATGTTTGAAGTATTCACAGACGAGGACGGTTCATAATTTGCAGAGAACTCTATTGTTTTTCCCCACAGGTCACAAGAGCCATCAGCCAGAAAATCCGGGGTCTGCAGCATCAAGCAAGAGTTGTTCTGAGCCTGGGAAACACGCTTTTTGTCCATCACATGGTAACTTTGTCATTCAGGGTTGCTAAAATAGTTTTATCTGTTTCTCAGAAACAGATTTATTCCCCACGGTTAAATGCTGAGACGATGGCTTTTACCGTTTTCTTTCAAGGTGGTTTGAGTAACGTGGTAAAGCAAGAGCAGCTGAGTCACTCTCAGATTTGATGTTCTCTCCCTAAGGTGCGGGTTACTAAGATGGCAGGCACCAGAGCCCTCATCAATGAGTACAGCCTTCAGTCTGAGATCCTGAAGACCGGGATGGGAGTTAGCAACCCCGAGCATCTGGATGTACTAAGAGAACTACTTCAGGATAGTGTGGTCAACCAAACCAAGGATGGAGGTCCCACTAACGGGTAGGAAAGATTGTCTAGGAAAGAGGCCGCTGGGCAGCAGTCAGATTTAAGATGGACAACAACATCTGTGCTCTGGTTCTCAGAACGAAGGCTGGCTTCCTGTCAGAGGAAGAGATGCTGACTGCAGAGTTCAGAGACCATGAGAAACATGAAGCTTTAGATCCTTATCAACTGACGTTAGATCCATCTGGACCCATGCCTCCTCCAAAAAGGTCCACAGTGCCGGAACCAGAAGAACCTGAAGCTCCACGGCTCCCGGTTCCCACCCAGACGCCTCTGCTGCACAGGGGAACAGACGGCAAACAGAGAAACCGCCGCCTGCCGGAGGAGACGATGAGATCAGATGAAAGGTCAGTCTCCCAGCAGAGGAGAGCCAAGCAATACTGCATGCGCAATATCTAGCTGGCTTTTTAGCTTCTCTCCTAACAGAGAAACGGATTTATTTTCACAGTGACAAAGACTGCAGAGAAACGGACGAAGCCGACGCTGCTGCCTCTGTGAGCCTTCATAAAAACGGTAAAACAGTTTAAACTGTCAGCTTTCTGTTCTTCAAGCTTCATTTCTTTGTTAGCTTTTAGCTTGCTTGTTGATGTTCTGTTTTTTTACGGACAGTTTGTTTTCATTTGTCTCCATCCTGAAAATGGCTTATATTTTAGATAAACATAGTTAGCATTGAGTTAGCAGCTGTTTGTTTCCCCAGGCATGGCGGACGGTGACGAGCACGTTGTGTCCGCTGGTGGAGAAGTCTGCAATAAGAGGTGAAAAATAACTGGACTGTTCTGCTAAATCATAAGAACAGGGAAAGGAAGGACCAGATTTTTCATGTGCTTAAATAACAATGAGTTGTGTCTCATGAAAACGTAA